GAGTGGCAAAAAGCCATGAGATTTGTTAGTTGGGTTTGAGGGACACTTTTTTTCTTTTTTAAAAACTGATTTTGGGGTAAAGAAGATCTGCTTTCTTACCCCCGCTGCTGTATTGGAAACGGGAGCGCTTTTATGCTGAGTTATTATCTCTACCGCTTCCTTCAGGTCCAGTAGACTGAAGATTTGGGACCGATTGATCACGTTGCTGGAGACTTTAAAGGATTTTTTTCATCATTGTTGTTGTTGTTTTCCGGGGGAGTTTGCGTTTTTGTTTCTTTCCACACTGGCCTTAAAGAGGATATATTAGAAGTTGAAGTAGGAAGGGAGCCAGGCAGGCCGATGGCGCAAAGGGTACGTATTAACAAAATTATGGAACTCCAATTGTGAGATAAAATTGAAACGTGGCTGACAGAAACATTGCAAAAGTTTCCTTTCTCTCTCTTGAATGAGGCCCTTAAAGCGGTGATCTGAAGTGGGAGGATTTATTTATTTTTTATCTATATACTTTTCCTATGTTACTTATATTTTATTGATTCTATCAAACCATGAAGTCAAGCTTTCTGTAGATTCATAACCAGCAGCTCTAAAAAAGAAAATGTAGAAATCAGTCACTGGACTTTAAAAATAAATAATTGAGATGTAACAAGGAATATAATTTGGGGTTCTTTTAAAAGTTTCTTTCAGGTTTAAGCTATTTTAATCTAAAAGATTCAGTTAAAACTTGAATGTGTTACTGGTTGTGACCATCTGGGATGTTTCATTTCACTTTTTAAAAGCAAATTATTTTGTGTATTGCGAGCCCTGTGTTTTGTGGTAAGAACACTCTCTTCATTTAAGTAATAGATTTAAATTTGCATGGTTTTTTTTTTTAAAGAAGCTCAACAACACCTTAAACTTAACTTTTTTCTTTAGTGGTCAATACTAAGCGCACACTATCTACTTTTAAAATATAATAATAATTTCCTAAGTGTTAGTATTTCAATAGAGATTTGGAGAAACTATAGCGAGACAATGGCTACTAAACTCGAATAGTTCCATTAAAGAAAACGAGGGACACAAAAAGGCTTTCTTTGCATAAATTGTATTACTGCCCTCTCAAAGCACTATTTGGAAAAGAAAGTTAGTTACCAGCCTGACACATTTTCCTTTACTCTTTTGGTTCAGGCAAAAGTCAGCATTCTTCAAAACTCTTTTCACACCTCTGCTTTAAGAAGATGAAGGTGGCAGTTCCTCTTTTCTTTGAGAATCGATTTAACTCTCGGAACCTCAGAATCTTGAAGGGGCTTTCTTGCAAAAAAGCACTTTAGAAATTTAAAGTAGCTAAGTTTTGCAAAACCAAAATCAAAGGGGGAGGGCAGTCAATTTGAAAGTACTTTCTTTCCAATAAGGAACTGTTGACATTTTTTCCCCGTCTGTGCTTTTGAATTTAGCTAATAAACTGATGGGGAATATACATATGTACCTGACTCCTCATCCGTGGGAAAGTTTGCCACAGGAAAACTTTATAATAATAATAATAATAATAATAAGGAACTGCATGAACTAATAGCATTACCTCTCTGTCCCCTGTGAAAATAGTGTCCAGTTCCAAATTCGGTTCTAACATATATACAGCTCTCCTTTCCTAAGTTTTAACTAACTATTGTGCTTAGTAGTTTTGCTCAGTGTCGCTGAGTTTGTAGTGGAAATGGGGGGTAGGGGAGAAATGCGGTGCCCTCTAGAATAGCCTTTCCGCATACATACTAGGAGATAAAATGAGAGGCGTGAGTGAATTCACGTGCTAGTTAGTGGTAACTATTCCAGCTTAACTCCCCCCCACACACCCCCCGGTTATGAAGGGGGCTGTCGAAACTAGCCAGTTTTGTAGCACTGTCCCGGCATGTTTTATTATTGTGATTTTAAATTTCCTTCTAGAGAGAGGCACTTTAATCTTCCGCTTTCCAGAAAGACTTTCTTCTTCCTTCCTTCCTTCCTTCCTTCCTTCCTTCCTTCCTTCCTTCCTTCCTTCCTTCCTTCCTTCCTTCCTTCCTTCCTTCCTTCCTTCCTTTTTTCTTCCTTCCTTCTTTTTTTTTCTTTCTTTCTTTCTCCTGTCTTTGTTTTTCTTTCTTGTGAAGAATACTGAATTCCTAAAGTAAGAGTGGAGAGAGACGGCTTATGGCTGAGATGCCTCTAACGGCTGATCTTAATTTTTACAGTAAAAACGGCAATAATTTTAAAGTCCCATTTTACAGTTCAAGATCGACCGAATTCCTAAGTAATACAAATTCAGCTGAATTTATACAAGATACATGCCGTCATAACCCTTGCCCTTCATTTTCCCATATGACTGATTGGCCTTCTGAACCTTGGTTTTTTTCCTGTCTGTCATGCAGTACGACGATTTACCCCATTACGGGGGGATGGATGGAGTAGGTATCCCCTCCACGATGTATGGGGATCCTCACGCTGCGAGATCCATGCAGCCAGTTCACCATCTGAATCACGGTCCTCCTCTGCACTCTCATCAATACCCGCACACAGCTCACACCAACGCCATGGCCCCCAGCATGGGCTCCTCTGTCAATGACGCTTTAAAGAGAGATAAAGATGCCATTTATGGGTAGGTACGACTGGCATCAGGTTTACTAGATGAGATGCTATTAATCCCTGATTTTCCTAGCCGTTGGTAAGCATAAAGCCATTGAACTTCAGGTTGTAGGTAAATATTTGTGACCTCGAGTTTCTTTATAATTGCATGCAATTCTATGGAGCCGTCTTACCTCCTCTCCCTTTTCTCCCATCACACTACACCCAAAGCTGAATTTTTCATTCAAGTACAGTTATTTTGTAACTTTCGTAATATTAACTGTATATAAAAAGTTGTCCAAAGGTCTGTTTGTTCAATTCAGACCCTGGTTCTAGCTCTTGCTCTTCCTTGACCGGAGAGGTGCGATTTAGGTTCATAAATTTAGGCGCCTTTGTTTTTGATAGAAAGTTTTTTAATCTTTAAAAACCTTAGAGATTCTGATTGTTCCGATTTGCTAATCTTACTCAATAAGCATAAATTTAGTCTGCCACTATTAACATTGAGCAAAATGAGGAAATGTGGTTACAGAATTTTTAAAAATTGTTTTGGATATGTGTGTTTAGCCACAGTTTCGAAGGAGAGGTGCTTTCGGTGAACTGTTAAAAAGCAGAATGAAAGTTTTAGTCATTTAAACGCCTTATGTACGAAGATGAAAATTAAAGGATTGAGTTTGAAGTGTGTAATGAAGTGGATTTGGATGCTTTGGGCTAGCAATCTTTGGTTGATTTGGGTGGTGGTGGTTGTAATTTGTACACTGTTCTCTAATGTCAGCTGATTTGGCATTGAGCTGCATTCTTTATCTTATTCCTTGAAAGTTCATTTATGCGTACTGTGCACTAGTGAAATTTAGATCCTTTTTTACTCTGTGGAAACTACTTGTATTTTAATATATTTTGCACGTATATTTGTATATGAATCGCTATCCACTGTTTATGCTCCTATTCCTTTATCTTCTGGTCACAAATCTGAAGGATTTGTTTTAAACTTCAGTGTTCCTCTTCGCAGCCTTCTTGCAGTTAGTTTAGACTAAGTACAGAAAACTGGGGCGGGGGGTAGCTTTATTGTTGGAAACACACACCCCCTCCCCACTAGACTGTTAAATTACTTACCAGGCCGTGAGAGCTAATAAAATACTTCAAACACCTTCCTGAACATTGGAAAGGGGTTTTTCATGAGCTAAGATAAGCAAAATTCGGGCCCCTTGATTTATCTCCGGGAAGCTGTGTGGCTCTACATAGCTCAAAGGAAGGTTAAAAGTAGATTTAAAGTAACTTTATTTTTGTGGGGGAGGTGGGACAGGGGAGGAGAACTGTGGGATGAGACAAATAAGAGAGCTTCCTGCTATCTGAATGCCACTGAATCAATCCAGTGTATCACTTGAGCAATTGGGATAGAGTCGGTGCAGCAGCCACAGCGGTCCGCTTTTCGAAGTTAGCAAATCCCATTGGAACACTAAAATTACCGATGCATTGGGATTTGCGCGTCCGCATTTGAGTAATCTATTTGACCAAGCCTTTCCAACACCCCCACCCCCACCCCCTTCCCCTCCAGAAAGTCCTGAATTTGGAAGGGAGGGAGGAGGGATTGTGGGGGTAGCAAAGTTAATTCAAAATGGCTGCTGGAACCGCTTTGGTTTTATTCTTAGCAAATGTTAACAATTTCTCTGGCCAGATATGCTGAAACGATCCTCAGATACAGTCCATGACTCAGGGCCTTCGACTTCAGGTCTCTCGGTTGAAGGGTAGGTGAGAAGTAACGGGGAGGCGTGGGGGAGGGGAGAAGGAAAAAAAAAGGGTGGTGGGGATTTGCTTCTAGCTCAACTGGATATCTTTCTTGGGAGCCTTTTCCACCTATTTTTAGGACTAACCACCTTCTTGTTTGTGATTGTTGTATTTTCTTGCAGACACCCCCTGTTCCCTCTCTTAGCACTGATTTTTGAGAAATGTGAATTAGCTACTTGTACACCCCGCGAGCCGGGGGGTAGCAGGCGGAGATGTCTGCTCCTCAGAGTCTTTCAATGAAGACATAGCAGTGTTCGCCAAACAGGTCAGCAAAAATAAAATACACCCCCTCCGGAAAAAAAAAAGATAAAAAAGTAACAAGCCAACAATTTGTCTATCCTAAACTATACGTGTTTCAGCTGTTCAGAGATGTTCCAATTGTGTCTCTTTGCCAGTGGTTATTTTTTTTTTAACCATCTAGATCTCAACTTCCACGGGCTACTCTCTCTTACCCCACCTCACCTCCCCCGCAGAAAAGCCAACATGGGAAGCTCTCTAAATATAATGACAATGGTGGTGGTGGTTTAGTAATGGCAAATTTTAATGTCACTGATTTTTACTTTGTGTGAGATGTGCAGCTTTCTCTAGATGGACCGTGGCTAGATAGGAGTAAAGAACTAGATCTGTTGGTATTTTCTCGTCTTATTGAATACATCATTTAAGTGTTTATGTGATGTACCTACCATCTCTGGCCGAGTTTTGCGCTGGAGATTATGTAATAGGCCCCCGACAGTGTAACGAAGCAAAAAAAAAGAAAGAAAAATGCCTGCATTTTTGGCTTCCAGATTTTCAAATGTTTTTCCCTTTCCCCTTCTTACTTGTATTCAGATTCGTGCAGAAAAACCTCTATTTTCTTCTAATCCTGAACTGGATAACTTGGTAAGAGTTGACATCCTTTCCTTCTTCCCTCACGCCTTCCTTCTCCGCACTCTGACCACCTCCCCCAACCTGACTCGCTTGTTTTTCTCTGAGAAACCGAAGCTTTCAAAGCATTTACTGGTTCCCCAACCCCCACCCCCCAATGAAACATTTCTGTTTCATGGATAGTTTTAATTACTAGCGATAGATAGAGTGCGGCGATTCCGGGTAAATAAACTCACAGAGATAGCTAGTGAGAGCTGAGCCCCTTCCAAAGGCAAGCGTCTGTTTTTATGACAGCCTAGCTGCATAACTTTAATCAGGGCTGGGATTTATCTGAGAGTCTGTCAGTGTGCACTCAAAGTTTACCAATTTCTCCTGGCCCTCAATTTCACTCTAGATATGGCTCAAACAATCCTTTAGACTATAAAGTTCTACAAAAGTTTTAAAATGTAACAAACCAAAACTTTATGCTTTTGGAATATGTTCTCTTCTCCTTCTCCGGAAACCATAGTCATGGATAAATGACACTTGGGGGAAAGTAGGGGGAGAAGAAAGTAGTGGGGGAGGGGAGTGTTTATAATCCTCATAATTTAGATGTTGCATTATTGTTGTTTGTTTAGATTGAAAAAAAGTTAAAAATCTCTGGATCGCACAAAGTCATTGCTATTAAGTTTTAGTGTTATTGTCATAAATCAAAATAAGTCTATTTACTGGGAGAAGAGTCAGGTTTTAGATGACAGCAGTGACAGTTGTAGTATATTCTGAAATCCAGAAATGGGATGCTCATACTTTTTGTATCTTTACAGATGATCCAAGCCATACAAGTATTAAGGTTTCATCTGTTGGAATTAGAGAAGGTAATTTCTCCCCCCCTCCCCCACATAAGGTTCAGAATTGCTGAAGTTCAGGCTTCTGGTAAATTTGCATAAATGTCTTTCTTTCTGCTAATTAGTGTCAAGACCAATCTTAGCGTCCATTTCTCTTCTCAGTTTAATTACAATTTCAGCCACTAGAACTGGGATCAGAAACCACCCTGGCCTTGTGTTCGTCTTAGTACCTTGCTGGCTGTGTATAAATAGTTGCAATTCTCTGCATCACAGTTGATATTCTGAATGCTGCTTCTTGTTTTTTGTATAAGTTATGACTCTTAAAGATCTAACTCTCACTCCATTTCCCTTCTCTCCCTCTCTTCTTTCTGTAGGAACTTTAGTTTTAGTGAGTTTCTTATAGATGTTCAGAGCATCGGCAGGTCAGAGACTGAGTACTGAGAAGAGGCTCAGGGAGAAGGAGGGGTTGGTGAAATTCTGGGAGATGGTGAAGGAGGCTCATTAAATGTTTTGCAGAGACAAAGCAGAGTTGAGAGTTGTCTCAATTTCTTGAATCTGTGAACTGCCCTCACCCCACCTTCTTACTCAAGAAAGAGTGCAGTAGAATGCAGTTTTGATAGCTGTTCTATGTATCTCATCAATAAAAGCTTAATGCATTCTTTTTCAAACCACCATTAACATACAAGTACAGGGTCTTCTTGTGAATTGTTGCATGTCAGTGATAGCTAAGGCCTGTGAGCTAACTTACCTCAACACATTTCGAGGCATTTAAAAAATCTTGGGAAAGTTTCTGTGGGTTCCTGGAGACAAAGTAATTTCACTCTTTAAAAAAAGTCCTGAAATATATTTTGTAGCAATGGGAACCCCTTATAAAAATACATTGTAAGGACTTAGGATGTATATGCCAAGTAAGTGCTGCAACTCCTTTAACAAAATAATTCTGTCCTTAGATCCTCTTAGAGAAGGGTTTATGATTAAATAACTGTATGAAATTAAATAGTTTACCTTAAGTGTCACCCACTCAGGTCACCTCTCTAATGACCACAGCCCCAGGAGCAGATGAATTTAACACGGGTGTTGAATATGTTGTAGCCTGTGAATCATCTTGTCACTGTCAATTTTCTGGGATATCTCTATTTTGCTAGAAAAGAAAGTTATTCCTAATTCTGGATGCGTCTGGAGGTCTCTAGAGGACAATTGCAGTGTGTTTTCCCTATTTGGAACTTTGGATCTCACAAGGGGGGTGGATTGCACTTGTCAATTTCATTTATGTAGTCCTGATTATATTTCCATTTTTTTTATTTCTTTCATAATGTAGGTACACGAATTATGTGACAATTTCTGCCACCGGTATATTAGCTGTTTGAAAGGGAAAATGCCTATCGATTTGGTGATAGACGATAGAGAAGGCGGATCAAAATCAGACAGTGAAGATATAACAAGATCAGCAAATCTAACAGATCAGGTATGCGATCTTCAGCCTTCACCATCACTGAAAAAAAAATCTGTATGCATATCGCTTACTGGGTCACTACCGACTCCTTTTATTATTTGCATATGATTAAGTTCCTTTTAGATACATTTCCATCGAAATGAAAATTTTTGAATAATGTGGCTATTATTGCTTCATTAAGGCTTGCTCTGGGATTCGACCTGGAGAGATGAGCTTGTAAAAGCATTGCCTGCAAACTTGACCTGTTTCTTGTCGCTTTTAATTTTTGTCTTTATTTTATTTACCCTTTGTAATAATAGAAGCATTAACAGCCATTCGTTGCCTCTGGTTGTTGGTTTTTGTTTAGGAAATTTTTTTTCCTTACAAAGAAAAGACTAAAGCCTATTTATTTTGTTTTATTAATAATAAATAGATAGATAGGTGGTCTAAAAAAGACAGCTAAGGTTTGAAATCTAGCAAATGCTGGCTATTTTCTTCCTGTCTATACGGTTCATTAGCCTGTCTTGTCAGTTTTCCTCAGCCCAACGCTTTTAGACCTCACTGAACATTGCTTTGTGCAGTGCCTGCTGCAAACTCGCCCATTTTATTGTACTTAATAGAAAAATAAAACCAGGCCGAGGTTATAAAAACAGATAAATATGGACTTTTTTTTTCTCCCTCCCTTCCACTCATCTTCCAGCTGCTACGTTGTCTCCAGACCCGCTGGTTTAGTGGCTTTTGGAATTGTCTGCGTTAGGAGCAAAATGTGAGCTCTTTACCTTTGTGACAGCGGTGACTTTTGCAGCCTCCTTCCTCCTTCTCTCTCCACCTCCCTTCCCACTGCCCTCCCTTCCTTCTCCACTTGGTTTGATTGGTGGCATATGACTTTTATTTGGAGCTCCTGGCTCTCCCTTTTCTGTCTCTATCTGGATTGTTAGAAAGAGTTACAGAAAGCCAATTAAAGTTAAAATGTGAGGAGTGGATGAGCTTAAACTGGGTTCAGGGTGGCTCATTGTTGCGAATTGTTGAAACATGTTGGAAGGGTTTTAGTTGTTTCCCCCGGCTAAGTAAATAAATAAATAAAAGAATATCCGAAGTTATTCCTTCTTTATGATCTGGCACATAAATACAGTCTTAAGGAGTCATGATCAGTTGACTCTGGAGGCCTTCTTCCCTTTGTTAAGGCAAGGCTCAGCCAAGCAGGCTGAGTTTTCCCTAGCAAGGTTTGCCATTATCTAGAGCACTATCAGCCAGGGAGTTATTTTATAGATTACTTACCAGAGTACCCTACACTTCAGCCTTAGCATCGTCTAATAGATTTTCCCCTCCCCCTCTCCTCTTAAAAACGACCCAGTATTCTCGTCTCTAGGAAAGATAAGCAGGGCTTATTGGACTAGTATTATTCTTGTAGGGTCCAGAGAGAACTGGCTGGTCTGATTTTACAAGCGAGAGCAGCTCAGGACCCCTTCCTAGGTTTTGATGATAAGGGAGAGTGAGAAAACTTTCAACAAAATGTATAAAAAGGCAAGGAACGGAGAGTTTTAGGAAAACCGGCTTCCTCTAAGCAAAGATGGAATTGTTGAAGATTCCCTTCACAGTAAGTCTTATATCCAGCGTTAAACTGTCCACTGTCTAAAACTAGGGAGCTGTTAAACGCAGATTCAGCTGAGAAAAATTTGGATAGCTGTTGTTGAATAAAAATTGTCATCCAACAAGCCTAACTAGAAAATGCGTTTCTAAAAGCTCCAGAGTGCTGGGTACATAAAGCTATTTGAGCAAATTACAAGAATCGCTCAGGGGCATGAATGAAATCAACACTTTAATTGCCTCCAAAATGAAGATTTATACCCATTTTCCCTACGAATCATTATTTTATTAAAGTCAGGACTAAAGGGGCAAAGTTACAGTTTTGTGTTGTTGGTGGGTTGTTGTTGTTTTGTCTTTAGAGAATTGATATTACAAACTCACCCTGATCCCGCTTTAAAATATTTGCCACACGTACTTTGGTTAGTGGTTTACCTTCGGTGTGTGATTTGTATAGATCGTAATGCAAAAATTAGATTTGCTTCTTAAAAAGTTGCATGTGGTGTAGTTTTCCCTGCCCCGTTTTAACGTTTCGTTTTCGCGTTTGGGGAGATATTTGTGATATTTCTGGGATCGTGGCACTGTTGTTTTATTTGGAGTGTGTTTGCTCGTGTGTGACCCCAATAATCTTGCTCCGGGCAGAGTAGTTGAATTGGTTTGGTAGGGGCAAAAGCAAATCTGATTGTTATCATGTTCCTAGTTTTTGTGAGATGTGTGAAGAGAGGGAGGAGGAGAAGATAGGATTGTACTTCACCTGTAACTGTAGACAGGCTCCGGATTCCTTAAAGTTTTCTGAACCCATTCACTAACATGGGTACAAGGATGTTGGAAGGGGTGTGCATGCTGAGAGCCGTTTTTCAGCGTTAAAGGGCACCAGTCCTAGCACCTGAGGCCTCTACTTTCTCCTACCATCCCTCTCCTTCCACCCTTATCACACTCTATCACCCCTCAGGCTGGGAGATCCCCTTGTCTACAGATCCTTGGGAGAAGGGTTCCACTTTCCATTTGCCTGTGAATGTGGCCAAGGCTCTTTGATGCCATGTAGTAGCCTACTTCAGGCTGTGCGGATTCCCCTTCAGGTGTTATGTGAGCCGCAGAGCCTCGTTATCTAATTAACCCCTCTGTCTCTAGAGCCTGTGTAGTTCAGGTTTTTTTTTCCCCTTTCCTTTCCTTTTTTTCTTTCTTTTTTTCCCCCCTTCTCAATGAGGGCGCAGAGGCGCCCAACTCGGCCTGGCTGTTGTGCGGTGGCTGGGAAACAGGGATGTGGGGCTTTGATACCCCGGGATTTCCTGGAGGGATAAGTCGGAGTAAATCCACTTTTGCCCTGTAATGTTTTCTTCTGCTGCTTTTATCTGATTAAGTAGCCACTAGAACTAGTAATCCCATATTTTCTCCTCCCCACCGCCAGCTCCTCCACTATGTCCTGGAGTAGGTCTCTTTGCCCCCCTGCTAAGAAGTCCCGTAGGGCGGCGCCTCCAGATGCTGTCCCTTCCCCACACTGGGGGCCAAGGCTGAGGGAGGGAGGGTTGGCGCCCTCTCCCGACCGTCGTTACCTGCTGATTGCGCCGACCCTTCAGGTTCTGCGGGCTCAGCCTCTGCTAGCAGAGGCCCCCCTGCGGCTACACGACGGGTGGGGCGGAGAGGGGAAGGTAGCCAGAAGTAATGGGACTCAGACCACTTTGGTGCCAGGGAGAGGAAGACAGGGTAGGGAAGTAGGCTGTGTGGCTTAGGGTACCTTGAAGCGGGAAGGAGAGGAGGGAGAAATTGGGAGCTGCGGATGGGAAAAGAGGTAAGGGGCATGGGGGTGGTGCGAAGGTGCTAAAAAAGGAAACAGAGACTGGTGGGGGTGGACAGAGAAATGCGCCATGCAACAATTGTAGGAGAAGGGAGATAGCCTGGAAGAGTCAGGGCTGGAGAGAAGTAGCTAGGTGAGCTGGGAGAAATCGAGGGAGCGGGCGCCAGAAGCAATGATCCTGGGCCCGGGACTGATGGATCCACCCGTGGCCTCTGTCCGTGCGGTCTTCTACTAGGAGGAATCCAGGAATTCAAACGGCTTTACCCCATTTCGACCTTAGAAATTGGTCGGGAGGACAAGGAGTAAGAAAAAGAGCTCAGGTCCACGCCAAACCCACCCTTCGAGATGTCCCCACTGAGAGGGGAGAAAAGGGGGAACAAGCTAAAGGCTCCACATTGAGCCCCTGACCCCTGACTCTCTTTTCTTGTGCTTGTTGAATGTCACCCTGATTTGTACAACTTTCTTGGGAGAAGAAATGGCACTTCCTGAAATCGAACCCAAAGTTCTTTTCCATTAGGCAGGTTAAGCATTAGGTACTGGAAGTGTCCTTAGAGGGGCAACCGCTCACTGGGGCATGGGGAGAAGTGCAGGGGCCAAGCAGCGCACACCAGAAGGACTGAAGAACCAAGAGGCACCAAGCAAGGGCTGCGTGGATAAGGATCAGATCTTGTGAGGTGGCATTTGGGTTTGGGTTGTGAGGTGACATTTGGATGGGGGAGGGGAGGATGTGGTCTCAGAGAATGCTAGAGTTGGAAAGGAATTTTTAGACAGATTATTTTATTAAAATTGGTCAGCATTCTGCTAACCAAATGTTGCATTATTGCTTCAGCTGAAGTTCCCACATTTCCATTAGGATGTTTTCCTGCAAGAACTGGAATTGTATACAAACACCTCCTCTCTCGGCCTCTTATCTTCCCCCTCCCTCCATTATTTCCAGAGGAATAAGGTTTGAGTGCGTTATTTTTTTAAAAAAAAAATTTTAAGGAAGAGGAGTGTGAGAAATAGAGGAAGGAAATTAACTCCACGTCCTTGATGGGTTGGAAACCTGCTTAAAAAATACAGGAGGTGACCATATATTTACTAATACTTAGTAGAAATGAAAACCATTTATTTTCATCCAATAAGGAGACTGTTAGACAAGCAGCAGGAGGCAGTAAAATGGTGTCTTTGTCAGGTAGTTTGTTTCTAAATGCTTACGTTTGGATACATCTTATTTAAATTGTAAATGTTTGATGGAGCTATGAAAAGGGTCATACTGCTGTCTTCATTCTAGAGCTTCTGATGCCCCAAGCCCTGTGTGCTGTGGGGCCTTCATTGGTGAATGTCATGATAACAGTATCATCCAAGTTTAGTTTTGATTGTTGATATGGGTCATGTGTTCCATTCTTAATTCTTCTTTGAAATATGTCAAAGGGAAATGATAGCAGGATTCCCTTTAATGATTAAATAATAAGGTGTTGACTGCTTGTCACTACACCAGCTAATTAGGATGTTCATTCTAGGCCATTTATTGCTTTGTACCTTTTGAACGGAGAGCTCATTGTGTACCGGGTGTGTTTTTATTGGTATTTTATGATTGGGTCACAGTACTTTTTTAGAACTGAACTCCTGAGTAGATATGTATTGCTGCTTAAAGTGCACAGATTTTTGAGAA